ATACTCATGTGGATCCGTCTCTGCAACTGGATTGTTCTAGAATGACTAACACCACATCCTAGTGCATAAAAGAAAACTGCAATATAAACCGCTGCTCATGATTACAGCGGCCTGCCTGAAATATAAAACAGAGTGTGTGGCCACAATTTCAATTTTCAAAAATATTCCTTTATAAACCACAGATTTACTTTCTAAGCTGTCAGAACAAATATATATCTATATACACAGCATAAGCAAGACGACAAAGTAACAAACAGAACAAAGACCTTTTCATCTCTTTCAAATGCGATTTCTAATCCAACGCAGAGACACGTTTGAGCCTCTCAGTGCATTGCAGTTGTCTGCACGACCGCAGTTTTCCTTCACCACAGCTCAAACTAATTACCAGACGTACTTCACAAGCCAAACAAACTGCAGCCTGCGTTTTGTCTCTGATACTGCGTAATGAGACATTTCCCCTTTGACACTTTACAAGAAAACAAACAAAACTGCTTACCCTTGTACTTTCCCTATAGCTCGAATAGGTGTTGTAGAGCACCATCCTTATTTTTTATAACATACATCATTATAGAAATTTAAAACATTCATTCAAAAGGATGCAAAAATATTCAGCTCTGCTACAATGTTTTCTTCTAGCCTGAAGCATTTGGAGCACCAATGCCTGCCAAAATTGTGAAACAGGAAAAAAAGAGACAATTGTGGAGAATGGATAGGACAGTTTTACACTTTTTTTAGAGAGAAAAAAAAACAAAAACAGTGAGTCGAATGAAGGGAAGAAAATGTGGCTTCTTTTCCTGCTGCATTCTTTCCTTCATCAGGAATTCACTGAGGTTTTGGCAGGCAGCTTTTATTACTGGAGTCTATCTCCTTTACTTGAAGAAGGACAGACTGTATGAAGAGTGCTGGGATAACTGTGCAGGAGACTGAGCTGTAAATCAACATACAACCTTTCTACTCCATCTATTCATAAAAAACAGCCATAAGACTGGGTCAAAGCCACCTCACACTACTGGTGATCAAAAACAGCTCATAAATAATATTCTCGGATTACACACTGCCTCTTCCAGATTTTGTTTTAATCTGCTTTACTAATCTCGCTTTTGGTATTTCGATATATTTCGAAGAGCCGTGTAGCGAATCAGCTCATGGGGAAATATGAATAATTAATCATAACTAGTTATAATTAATTATAAATATTTAGATCCGCTGTAGATATTTACTTGACCTCTCAGGGTCAACTGTCTGTCAATTCTAACTGCCCTGACATGGTTTTTTATCAACTTCTTTTCCAGTCCTGTACAGCGAGCATCTCTCCTCTGGGGCATTATCACCAGCAAGACCAGGCTCATCACAACAGCACTGTTAATGCATGTCAGTGTAGCAGAAGATTCATGCACGATCTCAAACATTTAGTGTCTGGCCAAAGAAAACATCGGGGGAAAACATCATCCCTGTCCATGACAGCAGGAATTTATCTGAGAGAAGCTTATAAAAACAGAGCGACGGCGCTATAAAAGAATGGATTGTGACAGCGAGTTTGTACCAGCAACAAAACCAACATCCCATCCTCACATTAATCTGCTCAGAGCACCCGCATTTGACACCAGCTCTGTGCTCTATTCAGGACATAAAGTACAGAGAGAATGGGCCTGTTACAAGACAGTTACACTTGCATACAGAGACTATGGGAATAAAGCTCTCTAGGGCCTTCCCATAGTTCACAGCTGAAGTGAGTAAGCTCTTTTCTACACTGCAAAAATGTTTTGTCATGTGGACTAAAATGTGCTTTGAGCGGTAAATCATTTGGCTTTTTCTAATAAGAATATTTTATATCACCAAGTAGGTGTCATTTGTAATAGATTTGCTGAAAATGTACTCACCCTCAGGTCATCCAAGATGTATGAGTTTGTTTCTTATTTCGAATAGATTTGGAGAAATTTTGCATTGCATCACTTGCTCACCAATGGATCCTCTGCAGTGAATGGGTGCCGTCAGAATGAGAGTCCAAACAGCTGATAAAAACATCACAATAATACACAAGTAATCCGCACGACTCTATTCCATCAATTAATGTCTTGTGAAGTGAAAAGCTGTGAAAATCCATCAAGACGTTTTTAACTTCAAACGAGTCCCCTATCCGTAATATTTCTTTCTCCAATAAAAAGGTTGTTTAGTCTGAAACAGGAGACAAATCACAGATCAAGAGCTGTTTACAAGCCAAAACAGTCAAAACAATTCTAAACAAATATGTCTGTGGATTTGATGTGAGAGGACAACATAGGAGGGACTTTTTTTCACTAGAGGAAGATGCAATGCTAAATTTACCCAAATCTTTTCAGGTGAAGAAACAAACTCATCTACATCTGGGATGGCCTGAGGATGAGTACATTTTCATCAAATATTCATTTTTGAATGAACTATTCTTTAAGTTTAGGTTTCATTCCAGGTTCAAATAGCTATAGCTCATCTGCACATGAAAATTCAGTCATTATTTACTCACCCTCATGTCTGTCTGACCTGTTTTCTGTTGTTGTTGTTTTTTATGAAACACTAGGATAATTTGCAAAATCTAGCTCTTACAATGGCATAGAGACCACATCAGTCAGATCACAAAAAAAAAAAATCACAAAAGCAAATAAAAAATGTTATTTGTTCTTTCGTGACATCAAACTTGATGCTTGCGTGTCATATTTCACTTCAGAGCTTCACAGATGGGAAGATTTTCAGCAAATAATGGAAACTGGCTGTTTGCTCTCAAACTTATTCTTCACAGCGATATATTTTAATTCTACAGCTCTGGTGTGTGAAACTTTGATCTGAAATCAGTCCCATGATTTAGTGTTTTAACAGCAATCTGGCCCTGTGGTGCATGAGGTGTTGGATTTTTAAACGCCCCATATGTCATTAACAGCAGACTCACAGCAGCACAAATGGGCCACACATAAGAAATCCAGTTACTGTTGTGCAATGTTAAAGTTATATGATGCAAAGACGTGCAATAAATGTCCTGCACTGACTTTCTGTTATCCTCTTGTGTATCAAACTCCAGCTCAAGAGCAGGCGCAGCTGTAAACAGCGCTCAGACTCTAAGATCAGTCCTGCTGCTTTTTAATTAATAGCATGAGGACTCAGAGACTGAGATGAGATGATGCAGAGACTGGGCTGCAGCTGCGTGTCCTCTTGTTCAACCTCTATCTTTTGTCCGATTGAGCACAAAATTCAGTATCCCAGGAGAGAGCCTAGTCTCCCTAATATTCTGCCAAGCACAGGCTAATACATCCTCCTTCCCCGGCACATCCCCAACATCGAATTCCCAGAGCCAAAAGTTTGCATGCTGGAGACTAGGAGCGCCGACATCTTTAAAGACAAAATCCAGCTCATCCTTCTACACATATATGAGAAATTATGAAGATATATGCATCATCTCCAGGAGTTTAGATATTATATTGCTGCCAGTGCAGTGTCTGTATTTACGATGAAGATCCGGAGTCACGGAGCCAGTCCAGTTCTGAAACCGTTAACTGTCAGTGAGGACCAAATGTGAAGCAGCTGTTATTACGCAATACTTCCTAAATGACCCACAACAATCGCCTCAGGGGGACTGGCACAACCTGGGCAGATTGTAAACCACTGACCTTACAGGTACAATCCCATTTTAAGACTTCCTAAGCCAATCTGCAGTGAAGGTGTCGCAGATTTTTCCAGGGTGTTGAGTGAAGAGGACGCTGAAAGCTGTCAAACTCAACTTCTTCCTCCACTGCTGAGGAATAGAAGAAGTTTTTTGTCAGAATAAAGAAAAATTCCAGGTTCAGTGACAGCATTTGTGATATGATGCTGTTAATTAAAAAAAGATTTGTAATTTGTAAAAAAAAAAAAAATCCACTTGCTCATAATTGCCCATATTCTTGTGTAAATACGATTTGAGTGAAAAAAAACCTTTCTAACTTTTTCTGTGCAAAGTTTCAAGTTGATCAACCAGCTACAATGCACTGCAAACCATAAAACCCTAAAACAAATGTGAAAAATTATGATTTAAACAGCTTTCAAATTTAGATAAAACACAGGTTTTAATATAAGAACGAATGTGTCTTTATAAAATTGTAAGCATGTTTGTAAATGATCAAAAAATGGTCATTTACTTCCATTGTAAGTTTCTCACCATAACCTAATTTTTTTTTTTAATTAAAGAAGAGATAAGTCTTTTTATGGTAATCAACATTATGCTACAAATCCTGACAAATAAGTTGTGTTGAACCAGTTCAACTTGTATTCAAGCCGAAATAAAATATTTAATCCTAGTTTTAAATAATCAAAACAAGCTGATATGAATCTACTGTAGTCAAAGCTGACAATATAATAAGCCTGGCAAAAAACTGACCGCACAGCAAGATTTTATACAACAGAATAAACTTCAAAAAGTGTAAAACTTGCAGAGTGGAGCCTGAAGCAAAGTTTGGGAGACCCGGCAGCGGATTTGATTTATTGCAGGGCGTCTCTGCTCTTTATGTGTCTATAATACAAGGGCTTCCTCTGTGGTTTTTAACAGGCAATTGTAATGGAAGCCAACAGAACACCTGTCTGGGGTTGCACACATCACTTTTAAGGTGTGTGCATTGCACACAAAGGGATAAAGTGAAGGTTGAATTCTATATCCTTGACCTTCACTTCACTTTAGGCTAGCAATTCCTCTAAAAAGCTTGCATGAAACATTAGATTGAACCATGCACTTTCCTCATCTTGGACGCTGATGAACATGAACTTCTGACATGCTCCTTTAATGGAGTCATGAATGTTCTGCCAGTAAATGATAAAGTGAGCTCAATTTTCCACATCAGTCAGTAGGCTGGTCTGGACAAGTTTCACAGCACCCAACAGAAACCCCAGATGTAGAATACGCGGTCTCTGTGTGCACACTCAATATAAACACGATTAAGAGTGTTGACATTCAGACCAATGAGTGTGATGTTACTTTTATAGGAACGTTCAACAAACAAACTTACATTTTAGACACAATATTGATAGTATCTTCCTGCTATTTTGCTCAGCCAACGCCGTTCCAAATAAAGTCAACACAGAATCGACCTACGCGACAACAAACAGCACTCGCTAGTGACGTTTCGTTCCTAAATGACTCAAACGAAGCATATGATTCAATGATTCACTTGTCACCGCGTACTTGTGTAACAATGTAACCTGCAGAAAATCCCCACCACTAATAATGAACAGACCAGACGAACAGACGGCTTAAATCTGCGAGTGATACAAACACACACAGTGAAAAGTCAGAAACATGGTCAGAACGCTTGGAACGCCGCGCGGCCAATCAAATTCGAGGCCTGTAACTAACATTTTAATTATGAATCTTGTATATTAGTGCAATTTCATCTCTTGTAATTTTTAGTTAGCATACACACTTCTGAGTATGACTGGTTATGACCATGAAGATCATGAAGGTATATTGGGATAATTTACTTTCCAGTGAGAAAGTAAATTACATTAAATGTTTATAAACTGTAATGGGCTATTATGAAACTAATGGCGGGAAAAATGCAGATTACATACAAAGGGAACGAACAAAAATGAATTAAAAAACATTAACCACAAGTATTAAAGTGCAGGAAGGGTACAAAGTCTGAACATTACAAAGCTATTTTGTACATATCTCCAGGATATTAATCAAACTCAATAGGAACCAGTTATGGCTTTGATGATCACATAGAAACTGCATGACAAATACCAGGAACAAAAAAACAAGGAGACTAGCTGAAAGCACTGATGTTGTTGTGACAAAAAGTGGTGGGAGAGGCTGAATTAATATCATCTGCTCAAATGCATATAGTGTATTTCGTACAAAATTGCCTGTTGGGCATATGAAACACAGATGAGTCTAGTTTCAACTCAGAAAGACGCCCAGTGAACTGAATACAAAAAATGTAATCTTTTTAGGTCAATGAAAGGCAGTGTATTGACGAATCTATATTTCTGTGTTTCTCTTTGCCTTTTTATAAAACAGTGGAATATAAGCTAAAGGAACTGTTTTTTTTTTGTTTTTTTGCTGTATTTCTCCCTTTATTCTTGATCCAACCTATGTTTTTCTCATTTTGGCTGGAGCTGCAGGTACAGAACATCCATGGAACAGCAGAATGCCTAAGCGAGTCCAGAAAGCTCTCAGCACTTTGTAATCCTTCAGCTCTTTTCCTAATGACTGACCTTAAAGCCACAGTGTTGTGAGAGATATTGTGCTGTGGTAAAAACAGCAGGGAAGCATGGAAACATCAATCCTTTTTAGCAAAAAAAAAGTGATTCCAGCCATCATGGTTTATAATAATTTATAATTTGCAGAAAGACTGGAAATAAACTAACAGAAATAAATCCTGCAGCTTTGTTTTAATCTCAAATGTACACTATGAATTACAATGTTTTTGGATTGTTTGTCCTGCAGAAATAAATGGAGATTAGACATCTAGATGACCTTTAGCGGTCTTGTGACCTCCTGTGACTTAAGTAAATAGATTTCAGCACACGGCTTTCTTTGGCCGGCACAGCGTAAAGATCTCACACTTACTGGAAATGCAGATCATCGGTGAAATCATTGAGGAGCTTTAATGTCTTAAGTAACATACAGAAACGAAATCCTTCATACGCCTCTTGAAAACCCTGTCACATACAGGCACTCATGGACTTTTAGTGCTGAATGACATAATGGCATAACAGACTCCAGGGACCTAAAGGTTGGCAGTCCACTTGGTTCCCAAAAAACATCCCATACAATGTGTGAAATCATTCGGCAAGCTCACTCAAGTCAGATTGTACTGCTCCAAACAGGCCACCATAAATAATTCTACGCTCAGATGGAATTAGTCCTAATGTACCACATCTAAAAGCAAGACGTCATATTAAGTCATATGCGTGTGTTTGTGTGTGGCAAGCTGCTTTCACGGATTGGATGGATCCACTTTAAATGCTTGAGAAAGATTAGGAGAGAGGAATGCAAACAAGCACACAACACAAAAACCTTATGATAAACATAGCAACTGAGCTGATGCTTGGTTTAGGCACATGTCTGTATATTTTGTTTAGAGAAAACCTAATGAAGAGTTATGGATGATGGGGGATGTTTTTTGTTTGCAGCTTGGAGATGATAAATACAAAGGATCCTTAGACATGTGCAGTTACATTGAAGATAATACACAAGTACATACATTTTAACGGCTTTAATCTTGTTGTTTTAATCAGTTCTAAATCTGACCTTTTGTCCGTAATACAGACAGTTAGTCTGTGTGCATTTGTGGTGGGGATTTTTTAGTGACTCTTTGTTACGCCAGTAGGTGGCGACATTGACTCATTCAAATAAGAGTCATTGACTACGTTTACATGGACATCAGTAATCTAATTATTTACCTTATTCTAAATAAGCCAATATTATGATTATGGTGTTCACATGAGTTGCTTTTAGAATATCCCTTTCATGTTCCCGTTTTACATGTTATAGTACATAGTTCGATTATTGGCACAGGTCATTACGTCCCCTCCGGAATTTCACGTATAAACATATAGTTCGTCTTTGTGATGATGCCATGTACAGTTTTGGGTGTTTCATTTTTAAGGAGTATTGTTGTCCATGTAAACGTACTCATTGACTCATTCAATAATCTGATTCATTCAGGAAATAAACAAGTCACTGGTTGCATCCAAAATCATCCAAAATTTTGTACTTCCCTACAATAAAAAATGTGTATATCTGGATTCACAGTATTCATTAAACAGCAGACAAAAGTACCTGGATGACCTACTATTTCCGGTGAGATTCTGAAATGCTGAATCTGATGCGAATATAGCAAATCTGATGGTCATGAGGCCAGGGAGAAGACAATGGCAGTGAAGAGACGCAACTGATGCTGGTAGGTCAGTCACATGACAATGACAACATGACAAATGTTGTCTGGATTACATTCATACTACACACATGCATACATAGAACATACTTTTTTAATGGTTGCAAAGTAATTAATTAATTAAAGATATACCTACTCAGAAAGTGCACAATTTCAAAAGCAGCCAATGTCTTAATGAGTGAGTCATTGAATTATTCACTCAACAGTTTCCTTAACTCAACACTGATTTGTTGAGGAACAAAACACCATGGTTGATTTTGTGATTAAGCAAAAAAGGGGACAAAGCAACTGGTGATATTGTGTCTAAAATGTAAGTTAGTATTCTTGTTTATTGAACTGTTGTATAAAACAATCATACTCACAGTCATGCTAGCTACCAATCTTGCTTGTGTGATATTGCTTAATTGTTTTATTATAACAACTTTTTTCACAGATTTATATAATTTAATGCCTTGCCAATGTGGACACTAATATTAGCAGTATGTAAATAAAATACAGTAGCCAAATGAAAAATATCACAAGAGAGGCAAAAGCAGTCAACTGAAATCAGTATAAAAGCTGAAAAACAAATTCTCTGTGGTCTGAGCTTCTCTTTGTATGTGACTGACCCCCTTAGCTGGAAATCTCCATAGTGATCCCAAAGGCTATTCGCTGAGCGTTTGTCTCCCTCTCATCAGTTTTATACTGAGGGTCGTACATCTTTAGCACCATCTTCTCCAAGAAAAAGAATCCAGAGGAGTTTGAACAGAAGCCAGTGCTCCTAATGCCTACTCATTACACAAAGAATGACAATTTGGAAGAAAATGTTCCAAAAGTTCAATAAAAACAACTTGCCTAACATTCACACATCATCTGTGAATAATTTGCCTGGCAGCAAAGCGAGAGCACTTGTGCTATGATCTTCTCTTGTTAAGACGTATAGGTCTCATTAGATTCTTCACAACTTTTTAACAAGGAGAAAATAATGTTTGTTTGGTTTATAAACCCATAGCAGCGAACATAAAAATACATTATTCCTTTCCCCCATAAAAACATTCTGGAATGGTGCCATTCCTGTGATGGAGACCCCCTGAATGCCTGCCGTAAAGAAAACCAGGCCATGGGGCTCTTGAAGGCTCCAAAACCACTTTGACAATTTGGATGCAACAACCTGACGCTTGTTTGCTGTTTTCCAGCTTTCAAAACAAGCATCTTGGAGTCTAATACAAAAATATATATTTCACCACCATGTAGCCAATGACAGGGAAAAGTCTGTTCCAAATGATAGCAAAGAAAATTATACATTTGTAATTTGTGCTGAATGGATGAATGTTCATTCAAACATTCAACCTTCACATTTTATTTGCAAATTCCACAATTCAACCCAAAAAACGTAATAATAAATCAAATAGAAATTGTAGCACATGAGGACACTGTCTAAAGAGGATAAACGATAATACTGAGATGGCTGCATGACAGCTAACAGAATGAACAACAACAGCTGATGTTTATCACACTGCTGTACTAAAACTGTGTGAGAAATTCTCCACCCAGAATGCTTTGAGGCACATGTCAGCAAATCCTCTTGAGCTGGCCTCCCTCATTCACTCTCCGTCCATCGCCACGAGGTACAGAGCTCACATTGTTATTAAACGGCCCTCCCTACAGCCCTCCCTCCCGCTCCTACTTTTTTACAGTGGCATGTTATTGAACTCAAGGGACCACCTGGTAAAATAAACAGGCAAATAAAAGGGGAGATGTAACAAAGCCCCGGTGCCTCCTCCAGCCCTGCCATGAAAATAAAAAAGCATGTCCATTTCCCCTCCCACTTCAGTCAGGCAGCTCCAGGTCACGGGTCTTATTTTACAGATTTTCCTATGTGAAACCACAGCCGTATGCGCTCGTGTCATTCTTATAATTGAGAAAATGGTTTCTGGAGGAGCTGGGGTGAGCGGTGAGGGGCGTGACCTTTAGTGCAGTCACGAAAGTGTTTCGCACATTCAAGATGTGTGTCTGCCGGCTACAGATCCTCTAAGGCCTCGAGTAGTGACTTGGCAGAGGATGCAAGCATGCGTGCAGAATAACAGCTCTGGCACACATGCTCATGCCCTCTTTGTGGCAGGGAAATTGGATTGACACACAATACTCTCCCAGACACACTACTACTTGTGACTCTGATAAGCAACAGAATACCACTGGGCAAATGATCTGGACAGATGGTCACAGAGTCCAGGCCAGGGGTGGCACAGACCCTAGTGAAATAAACGTTAAATATATAAAAAAATTGGATGAGAAAAAAATTTGTCGTACAAAAATAAAACAATGCAAATATTACCAAATTTGTCATTAAAAAGTGTAGAAATCACTCGTTTTTTCTAAAGAAACGCTGTCCAACAGCGACACCAGAGGGTAAAGTTACAGCGGGTGTCGGCATCTGTCATGCCTCCCCTGAGCCCATTGAGTTTTAACAGACCCTCTAAAGCGTCAGGTGGGTTTAGTGGGGGGTAATTGAGAATGAATGGGAAAAAGTCACGTGAGAGGCGGCAATGCCTCCATTGTGATATGATTGGATATGACTGGTTATGTTGGGCTGTGATTGGTTCATGCAATAAATCCCTCCTCTTGTGTTCGCATCAGTATGAATAAACAACATAATGGCGTCAATGGGAAGACATATTAAAAATAGATATAGAAACTTAGATATAACCACTTCAAAATAAGACTTGAAATGGCCCGAAAACATGATCGGTGGGAGTTTTATAGTGAGAAGTCAGCTTGGTGAAATTTAAGGTAAATCTCCTTGTCTGTGACCAATTTTTACCTAGAACTAATGATCTGAAAAATTCAAAAATAGTTCAAAGCTAACTATTAAAAAGAATAGCTGAACATAAGTTCACAAATAAAATATATCGTATAAATTGTTACTGCCTAGAGTCATTATTTTGAAATAAATGTAAAATGCTTAAAAACACTAACTTGATTAGATTCATACTTGACTTTAATAAATAGAATATTGATTACATTGTTAATGTAAAAATATAAAATATAATTGATTTCTCTCTCTCTCTCTGTCTTTTCTGATAGTTTAAGTAATGTTTATTTAACCAAAAAAAATGTGACTGGGACATGAATTTACATTTGATTAAAAAATATATAAAATATATATATATAAAATAAATAAATATAACCTTATACAATATTTCAGCAATCATGTAAAGTTTGTTTAGAATCCGAACTAGTGATTCGTGAATGAATCGCTATTGCTCAAAACAGGTGTGGAATGTGCGATTCCGTTTGAGTCATTCGGACTGTTCACTCACAGGCTGAATCGTTTGGAGTGGTTTCTCGCACCACAGAAAACAAACACTCACATTTATTTACTGTCCATGGTATGAAACAAAACTCGCAAATGTCTTTTTTCGAAGCAGCTCTTTATTGTGCGTGCGGTTTGTGAATAACGAGCAACGCACTCTTACTGCAGGTAAAGAAAGTTTATATCCAAATATCTAAACATTATGAAAAAAAAATGAATTTTTTTTTTATTGGGGGGCCTGTGCCCCAGTATTTATGAAAGGCACGAAACGCTTCTGGTCCAGGCTAACAGTAGCCAGCTCGCTTTGTTCACAGCTGGTTTTAATATCAGCTGTAATGACAGTCTGGAGGCAGGACAGGCAGAATTAGGACTCTGGAACCTGAAGACAAAGCAAAAACAGTCCCCTACTGGTGCTGAACGTGACACATCCATCATTCTGCGTGTTTATTGTATATTTTCCACACTTATAAAGTAGAGGTCACATGAAAGATGGTGCATTTTAGAGTGAAAGATATATCGAGCTTCTTGGAGAAAGGTCTCTGGGGGTTAAATAGATCACACCACTTCCACTGACCAAACATAGTTGTGTTTGACCTCAGGGAATCCCTAAAACCAAACAGAAGGATATAGAGAGAGGTTTTAAGTTGTGAGGCAGCTGCTCCATCACTCGCCGTTTCTTTCCAATCCCCCACGAGACTTCCTGCTAAACCATTAGTGGTGCTTACTGTTTAGGTTAACCCTGGACCTGATCCATCTCTTCACACATAACAGGCAACAGAGACCTGAACTCATGCGGGTTAAGTATATTATTACAGATAAGGTTTAGAAGACTGACAAGATTCAGACTGACTAAAGTGGCGCTAGTCAAAATTAGGCCTACACTAATATGTAACCAATGAACATCTCTTTTAATACAGTTAGGCTACTGTAAAAAACTGGAAGCTGTGGTTGTAGAGGTTTGGAGCAAATAATTTTCACGAGTAATTTCAACAGTATACACTACAGTCCAAACATTTTGGTTCAGAAAGTTTTTTTTGTTTTTTTTAACTTGATTTATAAAAATGTGTCAAAAATGTATCACAGTTAACACAAAAATATTAAGCACAACAATTAAGAAATGTTTCTCGAGCAGCAAATCTGCATATTAGAATGATTTCTGAAGGATCATGTGACACTGAAGACTGGAGTAATGATGCTAAAAATTCAGCTTTGCCATAAAAATATGCCACAATATTGTTTTAAATGTATTTTTGATTGGCGAGCAGAAGAGACTTCTTTCAAATACACTAAAAATCTTACATACTCTAAACTTCTGAACCTGTATGCATGTATATTTGACCATATGACATTGTATGCATGTATATTTTTCATTTCTAGATGTTTGATATTAGATATTTAGCAGATATAAGGTTATAATGGGGTTCATTCTCTGTCTTTCGTAGCAGCTTTATTATGATTGCGTGGCCCAGCGCAAAAAGAAACAGGCTCACACCACGAGCAGTTCACTATAAAGCGATTAAGACTTTGTGCTGGAGTGCATGATCTGGACAATTCTTCTTCCTTCGGTTCCAACGTCAACTGGAAACCTGGACACGTCTCAACAATAAGTCATGAAAGGACTTTTCAAAAACAGAAGGAAAATTATTAAACTAGAAAAGGTCTACAATAAATTAGGGCTCATTGCGATCCTTAAAAGAGGAAAGAAATGTTATGGGTCACGCTACTGAGCCTGCTGTCAAACAGTCAATGGAAATTGATGGTCCTAACAAAACGAATATTGACTTTCCATAGAATGAATACAATGGTAAATAATAATAGTGCCTATGCTGGCTCCTTTATTTAATCTTTAAGAAAATGCTAATTGCTTCAACGCAAGAACCAGCTTATATTAATTCAAATGTATTCAAATGGGCCTAGTAATGAGAGAAAGCGCGCAGTCAGTGATGATGTCACAGAACCCCTCAGGGAACCGGAACCACATCGCCATCTAGAGGCTGCGCCACAGAACAACACAAACAGCTGCGGATTAATTTATAAAGGACGAGAGAACGTCTTTCAACTCCACAATAGGTTTTAAAAAGTGTTATTTGTCATTTAACGCAACGCTAGGCCCAAACTGTATATAAAAGTAATGTATACAGTACTATGCTAGAAGATGGTCACTGAAATGCAAACTAACAATTGTCAATAGTACAGTGGGTGCATAGACATTATATACACATTGAGATATATATATATATATATATTACTTTGGTGATTATATGGTGTATTTTTAATGACTGTAAGGTTGTTGCCCTGTAATTGGGTGGTGGTTCATGATAAAAATAAATAAATAAATGTATAATAAAAATATCTTAAAATCCACAGGAGTACCAGAGTATTATTTGAAATGTTTTTATTAATTTATAATACAAGATTTAGGGATTTTTTATTTTATTTTACATTTAATAATTTGTAGCTAATTTTCATAGCAGTGACAATGATAAACACTCTTGCAGTAATTGGCCAATCAAAACCAGATTGGAGAGTTTCTGTGGACACTTCCCACAACAACTGCACTCTTTCCAAACAAAAGCCTCATCCACTCACTCACTCACACACACACACACAATTAACATGAGTCAGCCATCTGATGTGTACTAATAAAAACTCAACCGTACTCAGACAAGATAAAAAGGACTCCATTATTAATAATATTAATTTTCCACAATCAAAAGCCAAACAAAACAGACGGCATACAAACATTAGGAAATAAAACTCTTTTTTTTTTTCTTCCAGCCCAGTGGGAGGCCATTAGTGGTGGCCGTTCCCGGTGCACATCTTCACCTCTAACCATACAGCGCAGCAGGGGGTCCATGATCCATAGTGCTTATAATGGGGGCTTTTACCAGCCCAGCCCTTCGCTCCAGACAGAGGCTTTCTGATGATTTCCTTATTCTTCGCACCTGGGCTTTGTCCCTCAGGACGCACGTTAGACGAGCATGGGAGAGGATACGGATGATATATCCTGACTGGGCAAGAAGAATAGTTTGTGTCATTTCACATCAAGAACAAAATCACCAACCTTCCCGCATGCTTCTTCAGCAGAGACGAGGAAAATAAAAAACGCTATTCAAGCAGACACGGAGTGAATGGTTTTTAAAGGTGGCTGGTACACACCCAGGGCGAGGAAACACTAGACTAGGGTCATGCACAGATGTCAACGCAACTGATCAGTAAGAGGAGTCTGGCGACTTTGAGATCTACTCTCGATTGGTCCTAGGACAAAGGCAAGAAACGTAGGCGGCCACGGCACATCAAATCCACCAGCGCTACAGCAGACTCCCTCGGTCCACAGCAACAGACTGGCGCTTGTGTCATCACACCTCTCTCTCTCTCCGTAAGCTCCTTCTGTTTGAGGCAGGCGGGAAGATTAAGACTACAACACACATATAGTAACTTCAGATAAGGATCCGTGTTAAGTGCAATCAAAAGTCTGAGATTATGACGCATGTTAAGCTTCGTCTGAGTCAGACGTGTGATCCAAGTGAAAACTCTGACACTTGGGTGTTGGGAGAGCAGAAGGTCTCTCGAGTACAGGACATCCCCCTAAAAACCTGTTCACACATCCGTTTACATAATTTCCTTTCAATGATTCAGGTATTTCATATTTGCACAGTTTAACATTTTCAGGAGGCCTGGAAACAAACGGCCACTTCACTAAGCAAGTAAATTTGGCAAACAAACGAAACGAGAAAACCAAACGAAGGCAAACATGAGATTTGATCAACTTGGCACAAGAGAGTCTCCAGCTACTATACAGAGCAAAAACACTGAACGAAAACCTAGTCGCACTCTCCCTGGAGCTCTTCTGTAATCATCCAGAATGCACCACGGGTTGGTGAGCTGAAGGACGAGGAGGAGGTGGGGGAAGGTTGTCTGGGTTTTACAGCAGTAGACAGCAGCTGCTCTCTGTAGTCTTCTCCCTGTTCCTCTGGCCTACGAGAAGAGAGCAAATATTGAGTGACACCTAATAAATCAAAGACAAAACCACAATCACAGGTCCTCGTCTTCAGTGAGAAGAATGCGAGGGAAAGGCAGTACACAAATAGCATGTCATTCAAGTTTTCTTCCTTGAAATGACATGCTATGTGTAACTAGTCTGTAATTAATGAGGGGTGGCAATAGAGTCAACATGAAACCCCATTCAGAGCACATTTGCTTCTGTAATTTGAGGCATATCAGTGTAAAAGAGAATATTGAATGAGACATGCAATTCAGGACTGTATTTTATCCATCAGGAATGGACTGGATCCTGAAAAGTGGGCTTTCTATACTAATCAGGCTCAAGTTTACACTTGAAAACATTTTTATTTCAATGATAACGCTTCTTTGTCATTATTGTGGTCATCCGTTTTAACAAATTTTTTAGAAAGCTGCATTTCCTACTACAGAAGCCTGAAGCAATGCTTCAATAGCTATTTGTCTATTGGTTAACATGTGTTAACAGTAACCAATAGTACCACACAGCCAAGGTGACATCAGCTGTAAAGGATTAGTAAGTCATTTCCAAGCTGGAGTAAGTTGAAAGATCACAATGACAAACACATTTTTGTTTGTTTGGAATAACGCACACTGATGAATCATTCACGGTAAGACCAAGGACATACACTACAGTTCAAAGGTTTGAGCCAGCAAGATTTTATGGGGGGCTTTGAAATAAATTAATACTTTTTTCAGCAAGCACACATTCAACTGTTTAAAAGTGACAGTTTAGACATTAATAATGTTAAATTTATCAAAGAATCCTGAAAAAATCATGGTCTCTGCAAAATATGAATATTTATAGTTTCTGAGCAGCAAATCAGCATATTAGACTAATTTCTGAAGGATCGTGAGACACTGAAGACTGGAGTAATGATGCTGAAAATTCAGCCTTGCCTTCACAGAGATAAATTACATTTTAAAATATATTAAAACAGAAACTAATATTTCTCAATATTATCATTTTAACTGTATCTCACTGACCCCAACCTTTTGAAGAGTAGTGTATATTAAGTAAATATGCTCAATTCTGTTTTCACGTTGACTTCAAATGAAATCAAGGAAACTTAAAACCACACTGGGCCATTTTAAATTCATGTTAACTTTATCTACTGACTCGTGTGCAAGGAAACATTTCTATAATTTATTCTTGAAGACATTAAAGCATGTACCCTGCTTCCCCATTTCAAATGTAACGACAGTCATCATGAATTCAAAGCTTGCTTCAAAGTCAGCACAACTCGTCAAACAGGAAGCGACAAGGATAAGGAAACTTGTATACAACATCTTGTATTACAGTGTGTGACTGGATAAAGCTCAGTGATCAGACGCTAATATGACTGCATGCCTCTTAATTATTCTAATGTGTTTGGAAGATTGGAGCCAGTTGCCACCTGGCAGCAGTCCTCCAATAACTGCTGTGCCCTTGTCTTTAAAACAAAAAGTGGTTGTGGATAGGCAAGCCAAGGACATTCAGCCATGTTTAGAGCAGTGGGAGCTTGCCAGAGGAATAGATCAGCACTTACCATGGGAGTTCGGCTCTGGCAGTGTCTCTCTGGCAACCAAGTGCATGACAGTTGTTCGGCCAGGGGGCAACTTCAGAGCTATTCAACAGAGAAGTTGCATAATGAATATCGATGTACAATTTGGCCACTTCGCCCAGTAAAAACACAGCTTCTGACCTACAGCATATTTTACAACTTCCCACTTTCACTGTCCTTTTTTGTACACGAAAATTTGTAATAGTGTCTCGAGCAAGGCAGAGTAACAGACAGACAGAAACAATAAGACTGTCAAAGCGGGTTGACCGTGACAGACATGCAGACAAGGTCTAGTGCTCACCTCCTAGTGTGACATTGCCATGCAGGAAGCGGCCCTGGAAGATCAGCCTCAGGATACTGGGGCTGCTCACGCTCTCCTCCTCCCAGCCTGCAAAACAATACATAACATTCACCACAGAAACAGGCTTTCATGATGCTTTACTATGACAAAATGGTCATATTTTGACCCCAGTGTTTGACTGCATGTGACTAGACAAAAGACGAAATTATACTATTACTATAATCATACTAAAAAGTAAAAAAATTAGCAATAAGGAAATATTTACTCCATACATCTATGACTCTCATCCTCAAGAGACTTCTACATTTATTTAATCAGTTAAAAAAAATAGTAATATTGTGAAATATTTTTACAATTTTAAATTGTTTTCTATTGAATCCTAATGTAATCTATTCCTGCAAAGGCAAAAGCTTAATTATCAGCAGCCATTACTCTAGTCTTCAGTGTCACGTGATCCTTCAGAAATCATTCTAACATGCTGATTTGGTACTCAAAAACATTTATTATCAATATTGAAACCAGTTGTGACGCTTAATATTTTTTGAGAAAACCATGATCGTTTAATAAACAGGAAGTTCAACAGAACAGCATTTATTTGAAAGACAAACATCTTCACATCAATGCATCCTTACTGAAAACAACAACCATACTGACCATAAATTTATGAACAGCAGTGTGTACATTTTATAATGATTGTTTGCTCAAAAATAAACATTCTGTAAACATCAATTTTTTACAACAAGGACAGCTGCTTTTGCAGAGGACCTCAACATAAGTTTAAACAAAAAAAAGTGTGTTAAATACAAATACACTACTTAAACTACAAATACAACCAAAGCTAAAATTATAATCATTATAATTCATACCTGCCGGCCAGTTCTCAAAAACATGCTGGGCAATTTCTGTGGCAGAGTCATTTGGAGAGAAAGTGAAATCCTGTGTCTTCCCACTCACAAGGATCAGCCGTAGATTCACCTGTAGTCAGTTGAAAGGAAACAAATTAAATAATTAAACTGAAGGAGTGCCATACAACCCACAGACACAGTGACATTTCCACCAAATAGACCTTAATGACCCTTCAATCTGTGCTCACCCCACATAACATGAGACGACCTGGAGAGTCCTTTGGAGAAACGGGCATTCCTTCCTAATTAAATTTATGTTCAGCTTTAAGGGTGAAAGTAGCTACTACGCACTTTAAAGCTTCCTGTGAAATGGTCTGGTGAGGGGGAAATCGCAGAGTAGGGCAGAGAGGAAGTGCTACTGCCTTTCGCTTCCATGTAATGATGCTACCCCCCCACCCCTCCCTTTCCTAGGCACCCCGTCATCCTAATGCGATAACCCCAGGTGTCCCAGACAACCCAGGACTGAGTTATTAAATTTACATGGCCCATGCATAACCCCTTGCAGGAGGAGGGGAGCTGCACAGTGGATTAGCACAATAAATGTGCTCCATGCATGGGTCCTAATAAAAAAGCAACAGACAGACACAATGCTTTTATAGTCAGTATTAATAACACCACAAAGCTTTCTGCCACAGGCCAACACACGCTTCATGACAGTTTTCATACGTCTAAGAGATACATCATGCATTTACTGCCTCAACAAATAAGGATTATTTGATTTTTACTGCCAACATGTTCAACGGCTCCACCATTAAAAAGTATTCATAAACATTTGGTATCAGAAAAATTAGTATATAATTATACTATAATTAGTGTACAATAATAATGAATGTATTTATGTTTTAAAAATTTTTTTTTAACTTTTTTTATTTGTAGAATTTTTCTGATAATTATTATTATTATTGATAGTAGTAGTATTTTAATTATTTTATAATAATAATCTTTTTTTTTTAATAACATCCATCCATCCATCTAAAATTATTATTTCCAGGAAGAACAGCAACTACAATAATAAATTCATACATACACCTTTGTTGAAAAAAAATAACATGGTGCCAAACCTTACTGATGGTTCCGACTATATTACAAATTATTCACACAATTTTGACAATCTCACCTATTTTAGCAAGATGGACAATTTTACTGTGGTTTCAAATTTAAATCAGTACAGTTTGCAACAATATTCAATATATTAGCAATAAACAAAAATTTTAGATTTGCAATAATGACACACATACTCGATTTAGGCAAATTAGGCAAGTGACTGAATACATTTGGCAGTATCCTCTTTGAAACTAAGCAGCATCATGAGACTCAATGTCTGAACAGAAAAACACAGAGTGCTACTATGTCAGCCCAAAAATAAAATCAGACCAGGAACTCAGAGTAGCTTAGATTCCAAAGAGTCTCTTGTTCAGTTTTTTTTAAACCAGGGTCCTTTTTCTCCTTTCATGGTTTTCAATGACTGCAATTTAAGCATTACATCACCCACACTCAGTGTGTGGAGCTTGGCTGGGCCTTAATGCTTTCGTTCAGAATCAGATGGAGAAAGAGGAGGGGGGAGCAAGAAGGTGAGCCAGTTGGTCCTGGCATTGCTGTGTTTAAAGCCACATACAACACCGAGCACAAAAACAAAGAAAACAAGCTTCATGTAGACACTGCAACCAATCAGAGGACCAGAGAAACTTTCAACATGTTTCTGAGAAAGTAGAAGTGAAAAAAGACACACAGTTCCTCTCAGTTTCCTCTTAAAATGTGTATGGAAAACTGCTTCTATTAGTATTGAATTATTCAGATTGTGTCAAGCATGCTAAATGATAATATAAACATTATGTGGATCCAGCTCATCATCTCGCTATAGGGGAGCCAGAGTTTTCCTTCCACCCAACCGTGAAAGCAGTCGAGGTCATGACCCAAATAGTGGCAGCAATCAAATAACATGACAGGAAAAGGACGACCTCTTCCCGCCACAAATCCTCTCGCAACACGTGCCACCTAAATCCTTACTAAGGGCCCCCCGATGCTCTGCCCTAACCTATTGTGAAATCAGGCTTCTGTGCTGAGGGCATTTGCAAAGTAGGGCACCCCACCCCCATTCAGACACACTTGAAAATATTCGGCTTTCACCTATGGGGAGTTGGGGACCTGCAGTGAGAACAAAGGTCAAACCATAATCCACCACGTCATTCCAGCACACTGTTTACAAACAACAAGCCCCCGATAAAGGCATGGAAAGCCCTCTCCCAGCCTCCTCGGGTGGATTTAAGGGTGTTATCAGCAAATCTGTGATGGGTCGGGTAATATAGACAAGAGAGCATAACAAACAAATAAGCACTCCCTGCTGCCCCAGTTCTTAAAGCCTTGACAAATACAAAACACCAAAGCTGCCTAAATGCCTCAGAACCAGTGCATAAACACCGCCATAATCTCACGGCTTATATATTTTCTGCAATATCTTCAATCATGTTGCTTTCATCCCCAAATCAAGAGCCTAAAATCATCACCATTTGCCCCCATCCTCAAACAACGGCAAACCCAACGCTGAACCAAACAGGTTCAGCAAACAACAACAAATCTCAAAGCAACAACAGCTCTGAGTGCAACATAAAAGCTTCGTTTTATAACCTCAGCCTCAAATAAAAGTTCCGATTTTCAATTTTTCTAATGTAAACCCATAGTGGCACTAACAAGGACAGGTCATTTTAGTATTATTTCCATACTATTAAATTAATTTCAGTATTTCTTTTATATTTTGAATTGGCTTTTATTTTTAATATTAAATATATCTATTTTGCATCGACTTATTTTTACATTTAATTATTTTTACTTAATTTCACATTCAGTTTGTAGGTTTTTCATCTAATGTTTATTTCAACAAACAACAACATTTTCCCCCATAGTTTTAGTTTCAGTTTTTTGTTAACAAAAATAAAACTAAGTTTAATCATTTTTGGGCCTAAACTAAAAATCTGTTTCATAGCCACAAAAAGGCATTGATGTCTCCCCATAAATGCAGATTAAAGGGAAAGTTCACCCTAAATTGAAAACCGTCATCATCTGTTCACCCTCAGTTTGTATAAAACATGCAGGATGTAAACAAAAACTGGGGCAGAAACTTTTCAGTGAATAATGATGCAAATGTCAGTCAAATAAAGCCATCAAAGGCTTCAGGTGGTTTGAAAAATAGCGCATGAATAATACAGACCACTTTTTGTCTTTTTCAGAGCTTAACAGTGATTGCCACTATCCACTTTCATAGCATGGAAAAGAGCATCATGGACATTGTGCTAAACACTTCCTTTTGCACTCCACAGCAAAAATAATGAAAATCAAACCTGTTTTGAGCAGCAACAGTGCAAAAGCAGATGACAATGCTCATTCATCAGATTTGAATGCGCTCTAAAAGTGATGACACTTGATGATTTCTCATATCTTTGTATGTCTGAAAATACCAACTTGTGCAATGATGCATCATGTAAAGAGAGATCTAGACTGATATACTCACTGTGTCAGGGTCTCTCTGAGAGGTCATGGCTGTGATCAGAGGTGGAAGGCAGCCAGGAATCGATGGGTGACCAGCAGTAAGTGGGGACGGGGAGCACAACCCCTGGCACAAAGACTCAGTATACGTCTTCTCCCTCTGGCCTTTCTCTGCCTCGCACAGCCTAACACCAAGTCAATCATTCACAACATGCCACACAGATTTGTTTACCATACACAATCCAGTGGTCAACAATGCATTAACCCTAGATAATCAATTACCAGTTTAGGTGACAGACTTTACTAAGAGAAATGGTATAGTATTACAACATACAGTAGGTGCGATGACAAGACATTCCTATAAACACTGATTCACAACATCCTGGTGAATGTCTAGCAAGTTGGTTAACTGCTATGTGGTAAACTGCAGTACAAGTGATCAGATCAATTCATTGATGAAAGGATATGCAGCCTTTATGAACAATACACTCTATATGGCTAATAAACAAACAGACAGACTGAGTGTAGATAGGCAATATGTAGGGAAATGGAAAAAAGAAAAAAAACATCACATACCTTTGCTCTACTTGACTTCAAGCCAAACTAGTGTTTGTATTACTGGAACAGCATTATATATCAGCTCGACACCGAATCTGTGTTAGAAATCCAGATCTGCCTGCAAATCAGACACCAAACCAGGATGAGCTCGACTGTTGTTCAGGAAAAAATACAAACGAGTCCAAAATCAAAAAAGCATCAAAACGATGACACACATACCATCAAACACGAGATGTGTTTAGTTTATGAGGTGAGAGATGTGAAAGGCTGTAGGAGCAGAAAACAGTGCGCGCGACCGCTGGCCTTGAGCTGGAATAATTTCTGACTGCGGCAAAATAAAGAGGAACTAAAACGACCGTTTTGATCGAGTCGCAGGCGGCTATCAGATCCAGAGCTGGTCGTTTGATGGTCCAGGGTTTTTCTCGAACATTAACTGATGGGTATATCCATCGTTCAATCAGATCAGATGTAGCTAAATTCACTCGCAGCGTTCAAGCAGATTAATGGCTGAGAATTTAAAGACACCGGAAGTCAGCTGGCCATATATGCAGGAAATGGCGCGCAAGGCTTTCTGGGACTCGTAGTTTTGACGCAATTCTCCATTTTGATCGCACCTTGCAGAATGGCAGTCATTTCATAGGCGGTGTGATGGAATGTGGGGTTTCCTTTGTATAAATTCTGAATGAGTTTGTTTTTCTTTTTCTAAACTTGGTCGTAAATGTAAAATACTTAAAAACATAAATGTTTCAACTCCCTCATGTCAATTGGTTAAACATCTTAAAATTTAGGATGATAAATACTGTTTTCATTGGAATATCTCTTCCATATGAAAATTCTTATGGAATTTAATTCTGTGTTTTCACAGACCCTCAATTAAAAATCATTTTAAAAGAAATCTATGCACAACTGAATGACAATACTTGGTATATTTATTTGATAACAGCATATCACATAAAAAAGGCACATTAAGTAGGCTATTTACATAGGAAAGCTGAAGTGTGTAATTTGTTTTAATGTTAACATAGAAGAAAGTATCTCATCTTAACACGCAGAGACAACTAAAAGTGAGCCATTTATATTCTGATTTACCCAAAAAGTGTAAATAGCGCAGATCCATGATTAAGCATCCAATCCAGCAACTCTGGCTCAACCAGTGGTGTGAGTTTGGGGTGGGACTATCTGGGAGCATTTTATGAAAACCATAACTATTTTTGCAATTTCATTTGCTAACATCAGTGGCACAGAAATTTCACACTTCAACTTTAAAGAGCAAATATATACATGAATATTAAACAATGTCTTATAACACAGTAAACAGTAATGCCTGTTATATTACAGTAGCAATACATATCAATAGAGCATGATGCCAATCCGGAAGCTTGTTAAGCAAGTTATATATTTTTTTAATATATTTAGGTATTATGTGGTAACTAAGCTTCCATTTATTAACATTAGTTAACTAAAGTAACATATACTAATATTGACATTTGTTCCTTTAATATTATATAAAGCACCTGTGCTAACAAGTAATGTAAACCACAGACCTTATTTTACTCATAAATCAAAAATTCCCATAGGAATTCCAGAGGGAATACATGCCTTTAAAACTCTTTTCCAGGTTTTAGGACTTCAATCTGAACAGCTCTATACCTCTGAAAGAGTGAGAAAAGCTAGCCACAGCATTGAGCCATGTAAAGCCATCACTTCTGAGGAAATGTAGACTACAGTAATACTCATAAGGGTCTGTATAAGAGAAGGCAGTGTCTGTTCAAAGTTAATAGTACTGACTCATAACTCAACTTTGTAACAGATATGATTTTCAATAAACTGGAAGAAACAGTTCCAGCTCACCTACACAGCAGCACTGTGTAAACATTAATTGCAAAACAGGCTGTAAAGTCACGATATTTGCAGCAAATGGTAATGACTCTTGAAAAATATACTGTACAAACAACTCTGTTTAGTGTAAAGAGCCATACATTGCTCTGTTCATGTCAATAACATATACCATATCCCAGCAGCAAATGGAAAAAGCCACCAAAGTCACAGAGCTCCATAATCTCTACATTCAGATCTACTTTTCCTTAAAGAAAAAAGCATTTACATCGCAATGTTTTTACAAAAAACATTATGACAACAGCATAAACTGTGTTATCTTAAGAAGATAACTAGAATGGCAAAAAACTGCATGAAAAATAAGAGCACTTAGATGCTGATGCTCAAAATGAAAAATTATTAATTTTGTCACGTAAGTAAAAAACATAGACCCCTTTCTAGAAATAGATAAGGTAATTTCTGTTTTTGCAATTAAGCACATTTAAGACAATGAGGGCTTCCTGTTTTATATCCAAAATATGTACAGCTCAATAGAGAAAACTGTGCTGAAATGTATTGTTCTTTCTAAATGTGTAAAACATATTACAGTGACAACAGTAAATACATTTTCCTCCCACTGGTACATAAATGCATCAATACATTTACAAAAATATACAAGAACATACTTTGTTCACACTGCACTCAAATCTAATTTGGTCTTTAAATGTGAATTTTCTGACTGTGCTCACTGTCATTTTGCAAAGGATGAATTCTGATCTGTTTGCCTACAGTAGAGGCTAGTCAATATCTACACTGGATACTATAGTAATGACATGAGATCCAGCATTACGGAAACACCTGTCAGGGTGGAAAGAGAGGAGAGAAAAGCATCAACGTTGCTTCTGTTCATGTCCACCTTGACATCTCACTGCAGTGCTGAACTCATGAGAGAACATCATTGGGCAATCAGTCACTTTTACTGCATAGCAAATGTGACACAGTGTGCTATACGAGTAAATGTGGACATGAAGGACGTTGCACAAAGATTGCATCATAAATGATTACAAAAAAATACTTGAGTTGGGTACGCCCAATGAGATTTTTGCTGCCTGACAAAACAAAGCCTTTGAATAACATATTCCCATTCATTGTGAGAGGAAGGAGTCCCCCTAAATGACCACCCACATGCAGACACCCTGCCCCATTTCTGAAAACAACATGTGCATACAAAGTACATGTAGGACTAGACCGAATTCTTTTCATAATGAAGCCTAGACATACATAAGTAACACTGTTACAGTACCATCATTTACTGACACAAGGTAAACAATTAGCAAGAAATACACAGTTTACCTATACCTACTGAATAAAAAACATTTTTGTCAGTTTTCGATGTAGACTTATAGAAGAATTATAAGGTGCATTATAAAGTAAAACGGCAGCATTTGACAAAACCGGTTGTTACCAATCCAGTTGCTCTTCTTAAGGTGTGTCATCTTCAGGCAGGTAGATTGGTTTCTTTGCTTGAAGGATGGGCTCAAATTTTTCTGGGGAATTGTTTTTACCCTCAGAGCTGTGCCTTATTCCATATGCAAAATAGATAATAAAACCTAAAATAGACAAAGGCATGAAGTCAAAATTTAAAGCACAGTAATACAAAAACCATTCATGATAGCGTATAATTACACTACTGTACAAATGTTTGGGGTTGGTGTGATTTTTTATGCTTATACCAAAACTGATCAAAAATACAATAATAACTGTAATATCATGAAATATTATTACAATTTAAAATAACTGTTTTCTATATGAATATATTTTAAAATGTAATTTATTTCTTTGATGCAAAGCTGAATTTTCAGCATCACCAGTCTTCAGTGTCACATGATTCTCCAGGAATCATTCTAATGTGCTGATTTGCTGCTCAATAATTTTTATGAATGCTGAAAACAGTTGTGCTGTAATGATTAGAAAGTTCAAAATAACAGCATTTGTTTGAAATATAATTTTTTTTGTACCATTATAAACATATTTACTGTCACTTATCAACAATTCAATGAATCCTTCTAAAAGTATTGGTTTCTTTCTTACTGACTCTCAAACTTTTGAATGGTAGTATACATTTAACACAGTTACATGACAACGATTTCAAATGCTATAACTCACCAATAACCATCCATACGGCGAAACGAACCCATGTAGGTCCATCCAATTGCATCATGAGGTAAATATTCACAAAGATACTGACCAATGGCAGAATGGGGAGCAAAGGCACCTACAAAATGAAGAGAGAGGATTATTATAACCACCTAAAGATCTGACATTCTCAATTTAACAAAGCACAAGTTTGTAAATTAAGTCTGTACCTTGAAAGTGAGAACCTCTTTACTCTGGGGCTGTCGCCAGATGATGAAGATGCAGACAGAAGACAGAACAGACAGGAGAACAACCAAAGTGATATAAAGAGCGCTGCCCTTCCCCACCTGCTCTCCGTACACTGCCAGCACCACACACAGCAGAGTGAACAGCACAGCTGAACAGAAAAACAGAAGGATGTTATCTGCCTGTTCACTACATGAACACCAACATGAGCATTTTACATTTCCCTGAGCTACATGTTGCAGGAAAAAAGGCAAATAAGAAACTGGAATAGGAAATGCTTACATATGGTGCCAGTTACAGCGTAAACAATGATGCCCGAAATCTTGGTGGGTACGTCACAGATGGGCTGCACCAGCATCCTGATGGAAAACCTCTCCTTGAGGGGCGTTGTCTCCAGCTCCTGGCTGTACTCATCCCCGCTATCCACATCTGCCATGCTTCCTTTAGCCTCCAGCCTCTGCAGTTCCATCGGCTTCTCATTCGCACCACTGGAACAAAGACTGCCTGGCTGGTACCTGCAGGTTAAAAAAAAAAAAAAAACTCAATGAAACTGATTTTTAAAAGTATCAAATTCCAGATTTTTTAATGTTTTTGAAAGAAGTCTCTTATGCTCACCAAGGCTGCATTTATTTGATCAAATATACCGTAAAAACAGTTTACAATTACAATTTAAAATATTTTAGTATACTTTAAAATGTAAGCTATTCTTGTGATGCAAAGCTGAATTTTCAGCATCACCATCAGTCTTCAGTGTCACATGATCCTTCAGAAATCATTTTAATTTGCCGATTTGCTGCTCAAGAAACATTTCCTATTATCATCAGTTTTAACAACAGGTGAACTGCTTAATATGTTTTGTGAAATCGTGATACATTTAGGATTCTTTGATGAATAGAAAGTTTATTTGAAATAAACATCTTTTGTAACATTATAAATTACTGTCACTTTTGATCAATTTATTGCAACCCTGCTGAATAAAAGTATTCATTTCTTTCAAAAATCCCCAGACTTTTGAATGTTAGTGTATGTGTATATACTCACCGGAGAATGAGTACACACACAGCAACTAGAGTGTATGCCAGCAGGGTCCCAATTGACATCAAGTCCACTAATGCGGCGAGATCAAACAGAAAGGCCATCAGAGCTACAGGGAGGAAATTAGCGAGATTCTAGAGTTAGGCACAATTATTAAGAGAGTTACATCATCCACTGACAGTCATTACATGAATAAAAATACAGTCTTACCTGCTACAATGCCAGACACAATGGTGGCCAGCACAGGTGTCTTGGATTTCTTGTGCATGCGGGAGAGGGAGCGAAAGAGCAGACCATC